TCTAACATTTATAATTTTTTGTTTAAAAATAACTATTTACTAGATATGTTTAATAAAATATTAAATTTTATATAATCATTAAATTAATTAACCCTACAAAATCAAATAAACAAGGCTTAAAGTCACTAAAATTCCATCAACTTTAAAAAGGAGTCATTGTCATTCTTTTATCTAGAAGGAGTTCCATAATAAGTCTTAAACTTTAAAGAAAAGTCAATCATCATCCTTTTGTTGACAGAAGTTATAACACTGTCAATCTCCCTGTCAACGCTGTCCATCGCCGGTTAAATGCCATTTTGTCTTACAATTTCTGTCCAACGTGGCGATAATGGGTGTCAATGAAATAAAACATCCTAATTTAATGCTAACAACTGCTTATACTATCAACACCTAGCAAAGTGGTGCCAACACGCAACCCATGTGTAATGATAGGCCCGAGGTGCCAAGCCTCGGATTGCTACAGTAATTCCTTTACGACTAAAATGAAGGATAAATCCAAAACTTCCCGCTCAAATAGCTACATGACAGCGACAATGAGCATGCCCGCACCTGATTCCTTTTGATGAGCTGCACAGCAATTATGATAGACATCCTCGCATCTGAATATATCTCAATTTTTTGGTCCCGAAATAACCGTCTGGAGATATACATCAGATCTCGAATATCTTGCTTGGCATGCCACGTGGGTTCCTCATTGGATCCTATAAATACCCCCCACGGGCCACGTCAAAAGGTAATTGAAACAAACCCTAAGCTCCTTTTATCTCCGCTCTAAAGGTAGTCCCGATTATTGCTGACTTAAGCATCGGAGTGTCTACCCCGAGTTCCATCTCGGGGCTTTGCAAGTCAATCCGAAGTGCAGACGCGGATTGAAGAGGAACTTCTGGTCTGGTGCAATTACATTGGCGCTGTTTGTGGGAAACCAAACGGAAGGCTTCCTTGTTGCTCTTATCATGGTTAATACTAGGTCAATCCGAGCTGGAAACTCATCTCAGCCTCTTGGACGAGGCCAGGTCCCTAGCAACCTCCCACCTCACCTCCCACCTCCAATCCCGAATACATTCCCTCATGTTGACCATGCAGAAGGAGGAGATGAAAACCAACCACACAATTCAGCTCACAACTTAGCCTCTACTGCCAACCAAGACGTAGTTGCGGCTCAGCTCACTACCATGCAACAACAGTTTGGTGTCTTTCAGCTAGTGTTGGCTCAGCTATTAGCCCAGAACAATCCTGGTGATCCACTCATCAACCTACTTAATCCTGGTCCACAACCCCCAGCTCCACAACAAAACCCTGAACCAGTTCAGCGTGTTCCTGCTCTTAGTGAATCTCAGGGCCAATCTCACATCGCACCAACTTAGCAACCCATCCCTGATGATGTCACTCAATGTCTAGATAGCCTGGAAAAGTTAGTAGTTGAGCAGAGGGGTGCCCCACCTCCACGTCATGCCGCAAACTCCATACCTCACCCATTAAACACCAACATCACATTAGAACACTACCCTGCTGGCTTTAGAATACCTCAACTTGAGACTTATGATCGGACGAAGGATCCCAATGATCACCTGCATGCTTTCTACTCTTGCATGCAAGCCCAGAATGCCTCTGATGCGTTGATGTGCAAAATCTTTCCCTCTACTCTTCGAGGTAATGCTCGAACCTGGTATTACAGTTTACCTCCGAGGTCAATCAGCTCTTACACAGAAATGGCATCTGCTTTCGCCACAAAGTTTTCTAATAGAAGGTTGATCAGGAAAACTACTTCTAAGTTAATGCGAGTTAGGTAGAGGGACGGAGAGCCTTTGAAGAATTTTATGAACAGATTCAATGATGCAGTACTGGAGGTTAGCTCTTTCGACCAGGCTATGGGAATTACAACTGTGATCCCAAGTATTAGCCATGAGAGATTCAGAGATAGTTTGCTCAAACATCCTACCACCACCATCAGTAAGGTAAATGATAGATCATTGAAATTCATAACTACTGAAGAGTATGCCTTGTCGCAGAAACCAGCCCCCTCGAAAAACCAAAACCCAAACTGGCGAGATGAAAATCTAAGCAAGAAATGGATGAGGATAGCACAGAATCGAGGTCCGATGTCGACCTCCGCACTGAGATTCGGAAGGCTGAACTCTACACCCCCACAACAGTCTGAAGATAAGCCTCCAATTAACTGGACTCCTTTTAATTTGCCGAAGTCACAGATTTTCATGCAGATCAAGAATAAGATGGATTTAAGGCGTCCTAGCCCAATGAGAACTACCACTACTAGCCGAGACCATACCAGATATTGTGATTTTCATCAAGATCACGGTCATACAACAGAGCAATGCAACAACTTGAGGTCCGAGCTGAAAAGTCTTGCCGAGAAGGGACTATTGAATGAGTACATTCAGAGAACTGAACAACCAAGGTTTGTCAGAGAGCAAAGGCCACAGCCTCAAGGAGTCCGTAACCCACCAAACAAGCAAGGTGTGGGATATCAGCAAATCCCACCTCCGCTCCCACCACCAGCTAGAATCATACACATGATCACAGAAGGCCTGGAAGTAGGTGGACTGAGCTCTAAACAGCGAAAGTTGTATGTCAGAGAGGTTAAGCATCAAAACCGAGCTAAGAAACGAAAGTTTGACGATGCTAAGTGGAAGAATCAACCCATTACTTTCACATCTACTGATCTCGATACAGTCGTCACACCTCACAATAACCCTCTAGTCACTTTTGTCATGATTAACAGTTGTGAGGTGCAACGTGTCCTTGTTGACACAAGAAGTGCACCAAATATAATGTACTTCCATTGTTTTGAGAGTCTTGGGCTAGATCCAGCTTTGTTGCAGAAGTATGACGGTCCCATCTACGAATTCAACAACCAACCAGTTCCAGTTGAAGGAGTCCTAACCATGAATGTTGCATTTGGAAATAACAGAAATTATGTGACCCCTTCAGTCAGATTTCTAGTAATCAAAATGGCGTCCTCCTTCAACGTTGTTATTGGCCGACCTATGCTGACTGAGATCCGAGCTGTAGTTTCCTAGTCTCACCTCTGCATGAAGTTCCCAACTCCTATGGGAATAGCAACACTGCAAGGCAACCAGGAGGTAGCTAGACATTGCTATATCACCTCGGTAACACAACCTAGGAAAGGCAAAGATCAAACACCTGAGGTCATCCCCCAAAAAATTCCTGATAATCAGCAAGTTATGGGTGTTGAGATAGTAGATAATCGACCGGAAGATGAAACCAGAGCTGCTCCAGTCGAAGATGTCGAAGAACTGCTCATTGATGACAGAGATCCGAGCCGAAAGACGCAAATTGGAACTAGATTCAACTCAGAGGAAAAGACAGAGCTAATAGCTTTTCTTTGAGCTAACAATGATGTCTTCGCGTGGACCTCGGCAGACATGCTAGGCATTCCACCCTCGATATCCCAACATAAGCTCAGCACCAATCTGTTGAAGAAACCAGTGGCCCAAAAGCGACGTCTCCTTAGGGGGGAGAGGCTTCAGGCTATAAAAGAAGAGGTAGAGAAACTTTTACAACCTGGTTTCGTCAAAAAAGTTGAGTACTGCGAATGGGTGGCTAACCCAGTCCTAGTGAAGAAGGCAAACGGTAAATGGTGAATGTGCATCGATTACACAAATCTTAACCAAGCCTGCCCCAAGGATTGTTATTCGATGCCAAGTATTGACAAATTGGTTGAAGCGGCTTTAGGCAACGAGAGATTAAGTCTCTTGGATGCATATTCCGGGTATCACCAGGTGCCGATGGCTCCAGAAGACGAAGAGAAAACCTCGTTCTATGCTGGCGATGAAATCTATTGCTATGTCATGATGCCGTTTGGCTTAAAGAACGCATGTGCTACTTATCAGAAAATGGTGACCATCGTCTTTCGAGTTCAGATCGGCAGGAATCAGGAGGTGTATGTCGATGACATCGTGGTAAAGAGCCTGAAGGCAGAAGACCATCTAGCTGATCTCGACGAAACTTTCAACAACCTCAGAAAGAACCGGATGCGGTTAAACCCAGCCAAATGCATCTTCGGCATGGAGTCTGGAAAGTTTTTAGGTTTCATGGTGTCTCGAAAAGGGATTGAGGTCAATCTAAAGAAGATCAGAGCAATTGTCGAGATGGAACTGCCAAAATCAGTGCAAGATATATAGAGGTTGACGAGAAGGGTGGCAGCTCTTCATCAATTCATATTGAAGTCAGCAGATAAGTGCCTGCCATTTTTCAAGATTATGAGGTCAGTTGCCCGGAAAGACGAATCAGGAAAACAAAAGAAATTTGAATGGAGTCACAAATGCCAAACCGCATTCGACGAGCTGAAATTTTATCTTAGCTCACCACCCCTATTGACTAAGGCCATAGATGGAAAGATTCTTTATTTTGTATCTGAGAATTTCAGATGAAGCCATTAGTTCAGTTCTGGTGAGAGATGAAGCCAAGTAGCAGAAACCAATCTATTATATCAGCAGTGTACTGCATGGAGCAGAGCTGAGGTATCCTATAGCTGAGAAAGCAGCATTAGCAGTTGTCACTTCGGTCAGGAAGCTGAGACCATATTTCTAGTTACACCCAGTTATTGTCCTCACAGATCAACCTCTCCAACAGATTCTATAGAAACCAGAGTGCTTTGGAAGATTAATTAAGTGGGCAGTAGAATTGGGGGAATTTAAGATAACATTTCAGCAGAGATCGGCAATCCGAGCTCAAGCACTAGCAGATTTTATTGTCGAATGTACTCCATGTCCTTCAACCCCTAATCCAAAGCTCAATGACTAGACCTTATATGTTGACGGGGCATCTAGTAGCAAGGGTTCAGGAGTTGGCACTCTCTTGATTGGTCTAGATGGATATCGAAGCAAACATGCCCTGAAATTCAACTTTGATGCAACAAACAACATGGCTGAGTATGAAGATCTGCTACTTGGCCTACAACTAGCATTGGAGTTGAAAATCAGTGCGATTCAAGTATACAGTGACTCCCAGCTGGTGGTGAACCAAATCAACTCAATCTGCGAAGTCGTTGATCCTGTGATGGTGAAATATGTAGCCCTGATGGCCGAAATGAAATGCAAATTCCAAAAATTCTGTCTTAGCAAAATTCCCAAACTAAGAATGAACAGGTAGATTCACTCTCTAAATTTGCCTCTAATAGCTCTTTAAGTTCCAGATCAGTTTTTGTGGGGGTCTTAGACGAACCAAGCTTCATGAAGTCACGGATAATGGAGATTAGCACAGACCCTGACACGCAAAGTTGGACTAACTCAATTATCTCCTTTTTGCGAGATGGGATAGTACCTGAGGACAGGCAGGAGGCAATGAAGTTGAGGAAGAAAGCATCTCGGTATACACTCGTTGATGGGGTCCTCTATAAGAGATCTTTCTCACTCCCTCTTCTACGATGTTTAAACCCCTATGAAGCTGAGTATGCACTTTGGGAGGTGCATGAAGGTGTCTGCGGGAGCCACGTTGGTCCTAGAACTCTGGCTCATAAAGTCTTAAGGCAGGGATATTCCTGGCCAAACATGTACAAAGATGCCACTCGCTTTGTTCAGAAATGTCCGAAATGTCAATTCTTTGCACATCTGACTCACCAACCAGCAAAAGAGCTCACGAACTTGGTAGCACCGTGGCCATTTGCTCAATGGGGACTGGATCTTTTAGGCCCGTTTGTGAAAGGGGTTGGTGGTGTAACCCATCTGATTGTTGGTGTGGATTATTTCACAAAGTGGGTTGAAGCTCGGCCGTTATCTAATCTTACCTCCAAGAAGGTCGAAGACTTTGTTTTCAACTCGATCATCTGCAGATATGGGATCCCGAATCAGATTGTGGATGATAATGGAACTCAGTTCAATTGCTCCTCATTCCAAGATTTCTGTTTCAGCTATGGGATCAAATTGCAATTCACCTCCATTTACCATCCGGAGTCCAATGGCATGGTTGAATATGTTAACAAATGCATTTTAGAAGGTATAAAGCCGAGGTTGGAACAACATAAGGCCAAATGGGCAGATGAGCTCAACAACGTCCTCTGGGCATACAGAACCACGAGCCGAACTGCCACAGGTATTACTTCAAACCTGGTCTATTTGATTAATTTCTATATTATTTTACTTCTTCTATCACGGCTTTACCTTAGAGCAAATATGCATAATGCATAAAGCGCATTCTAAAGTTATAATTAACTGAAATAGGTGAAACACCAAATCATCTTGCCTTTGGTACCGAAGCAGTCATTCCTATTGAAATAGGAGTCCCAAGCTTCCGGGTCACCCATTTCTATGAAGGATGAAATGGACAACTGCTTCGGGAAAACCTTGATCTGCTTGCCAAAGTCAGAGAAGAAGCACGGCTTCGAACTCTTGTATACAAGCAGAAACTAGCCAACTTCTACAATAAACGAGTCTGCCCTCGAACATTCAAAGTAGGAGACCTTGTTCTCAGAAAAGCTGGCCTAACAGGATTTGAAACTCATTTTGGCAAACTCGCCCCGAATTGGGAAGGCCCTTATACCGTGGCAGAGGTGCCACATCATGGTGCCTATGTCCTCCAAGACGCTGAAGGAAAGAGAGTTCCTAAAGTCTGGAATGTCAATAACTTAAAGAAATTTTACCCCTAATACAATTCTTTCAAGTGACCTATGTCTTACTGTTCTTTACACTTCTTACTTCATAGTTGTTGAGATTCATTTTACCTCTTATTCTATATATCTGAGATCAATCAGTTCATTAATTCCTTGAACCTCACTTCTGTTAATAAATGTCACTTCACATATGAAGTGCTTTATTCATTTGCAGTGATGTACTTGTTCTTAATTTATCTGAAGTAATTTACTTCTTCTTAATTCGTCTGAAGTGACTTACTTCTCTTTGGTTCATTTATGAAGTGGTTAACTTTCTTTCAAATCACGTCTTAAATAATCTCAGTTCTTTTATTAATAAAAAATAACAAAAATATAAAGCAAACACAACATATAATTTCAACACAGAAATTTCATACAAAATAATAACAATATTACAAATTGTTTAAAAGTTTTTACAAAAATTAAAAAACAGAAATTATTTCTCTGCTGGGGGAGGTGGCTATGTTGGCTGCTGCTCGTCTAGCAGAGGAGGTTGCTCATCGTCAGAAGGGACTGGATGAATCTCCACTTCGGGAGCTGGTTGGCTCTCACCCACTTCAGTCCTTTCCACTCCTGCCTCCACCTCATCTTCCTCTACCTCTGCCCCTTCTTCCTCCACTACAACGAACTCGAAGTCGAACTGTGGAGGGAAAACAACACGTCCGTCTACATCATGCTCCCACCTCAGTTTGATTTGAGGACGGAAGTCTGCTGACATGCTCTCACCGTTCTCCTCCACTCCTTCTTCTTGCTCGTCGAAGGTGATCTTTATAATATCCACTTCGGGATATTCAGCCTTCACCTTCTTTCTGCAGTCTGTGAAAGCAATGATGGCAGTGGGTAGCCGGTACAAGTTGACCATGTTGTCAAACGAGCTGAAGCTGATGAAGTTGCTGATATGCTCCTTCATCCCATTATGCACCAACATCTGCACATTCTCCTTCAGCTCCATGAAGGCATCCTTCATCAACGCTATTTCCTTCGCCTGAGCCTCACACTCACTTTTAGAGATCCTTCGTTCGCTCTCCTCAAAGACGAGCTTGGTGCTCAGGGAAGCCCTCTCCTGCTCCAACTGTGAAACAGTTGGAACCACCTCGTTTAGCGCCTCTTACAATTCGTTATTCTTTTTCTCCAATTCCTCCTTCTCTTTCTACAGCTGGTCACACTACCTCTGCAAAAAGGAGCGCTCCTTCACGCTATCCATGAACTCCTGGGCTAGACCATTCACCCAGCTCACGCTCTGCAATTCAAAGTAGAAGTTAACAGAAAAAAAAGAGAAAAAGAAACAGATTAAATAAACAACACCAATAACCAATAAATACAAATAACTTAACGTACCTCTAAAACATGCTTCACTACTGAAGCCCCACAATACCTCAGAGCCTCGTCCCGTGCGTTGCGTTTGTCCACTTTAGAGAAGGTGGTGTTGATGAACCTCCTAGCCCCCGTCATGTTCTTCGCCTCGAATAAGCCGCTCTGAAACGTCAACGGGGGAACAGGGCCCTTTCCCTTACCAGGAGCTTGTACCTCAACCCCCTCCTCCAACTGTCTTAACTCAAGGTCCAGCTCAACAGGAAGAGGCTGAGGTACGAACTGGGGAACCTCGCTCCCCCTCTCCCCCTCCTCCACCACCTTCTTCTTCTTCTGTAGTGCCCTTCTCTCCTCCCAACCCTTCCTCTTCAACTGTGGCACCTCCTCCTCCGCCTTAGCTGAAGTAGTGGGCACTACCTCCTTCCCAGCTCTCCCCTCATCCACTTGCTTAGTTGAAGTCTTTGACTTCTTCCTTGGCTTCTTGGGGATGGCCACTCCTCCAACAGTGTTCAAGAATTTATCCATTTCAGCTACAGAACAAGAAACACACAATATCAACCACACAGTTCTATATTCTACATCTAGTACTACAATGTAAATTAAACAAACCTTCACTTAAAGCGCTTGGCCCATAGAGCTCAGCAACTTCTATGCATTGTGCGCTGGTGAAGTCCACGATGTTTAGTAAATCCCCCCCCCCCTTCCTCACCAGCCTCCCCACTTGTTCCTCCTCATCCTCATTTAAACTAAATTTATTCTGGTTGGCTCTTTTAGCCTTCCAGGATGCTAACTCCCTCACCTCGGTATCACCCCTCTCCCACTCCATATCATCTACAAAAAAGAATTTTTCCTTCCATCCTTTAATGGATAAAGGACTCGCCGTAAATAAAGCTCTACTCTCCCTATTAGCTACCCTAGGGGTGAAATAATACCACCCCTTATCCTTCCTATTATCCCCCTTGAAAA